TAATTGGGTTGCACGTTCGGAAATGGGCCTGCTGGTGACCTGCTTATTCTGCGATCCAGATGAGATTTATTCGTTGGATTCTGTTAAATGCGTGATGGTTGGGGTAGCCCTTGATTCGCTCTTGCTTCTAAAACATTCTTCCGTGTTTTCTAACTTGAAATTCCAGTTCTACACGCTCATTCGTAATACGTGTGATTACGTTCCAAATAGGGATCTATGCTGTTCTTTTCAGGTTCATCAACCGAGGATGAAAGTGTTCACTGTGGGCTTAGATGACAAAGAGAAATCTCAGAAGGCGGATTTAGAAAAGGCCGATAGCGGAAAGGTACGTCTAAGAAGCTTACTAATTCTAGTCAGAAATTTGGAGGGATTTGAGCGTATTGGGTTCGTAGCTGAAGTAATATAATACCTAAGGGATTGTTACCATATTTTTCACAGTTTGCAAAATCAACTCATTTGTAGTAGCCATGGTAGACCAAAAAATAATTGTCTACTGTGCTCCTGAAAATTTCGTCTTCAGCCTGCTTTCTCACTATGCAGCACAGCATTCTTTTCGCGTCAAGAATATGAGCTCAGCCTACGCCCCTAAATAGGGATCTTAGAACTGTCATTCGGAAATCTTTCATCCTCCCAGACAAGCCTGGCACCAAAACCAACTCCAGAGGGCTGGGAGCTTTGGTTAGCCTTGGTGACGCCGATCCATGATTCGATCTCCGGACCGCGAGTATATAGAGCCGATAGACTAGAATTTTTATTCGAATATTAGCCTCTTCAAATATAATATATGATGAATTTTGAACAGAAAAAAAGTCGGGGAAAGTCTTTATTTTGCAGGCTCCATCGGACATAGCGACAGTTATGCCCATGCCGACGCCGATCATCGTACCACGTGCAGCCCCTAGGAGAAAATTCGGATGTGGAGGTTGCTGGTATTCCTATCAAATTGAGCCTTGTTTGTCCTTTATCTACAAATTTCAGTGCTGTCGTGGGTTGTCGCGGCGTTCTTCGTTGTACTGTTATGTCTGACCATATCCGAGATTACCTACAACAGACAAAGGGATCAAGCATTCCTCAGACTCAAATGGTAATTTGAACTGACCTATTGGATGTATTTAGATTACTATAAATCTTGCGCTGACAACATGCCTAGGCCTGTGATACCCTTTTAGGTTCTGACCAGACCTCAAGGGCGAGATCTACTATGATAGTTTTTCAACCATACACTAAGTCACCACCTTTTTATCGAGCCCCCAAAGATGTGTATTTATTCTAATCGACTGCGAAAGGGGATAGTATGACTCTGTTAATGTTTACTCTACCATAGCAACTATCATATCGACTGTTTTACGCCTATCATATAACTACATATCTGAGGGCCATCACTTGGACATAACTACGAAGCAAGTAAACCTTGCTCTCTCCTTCGCCTTAACAGAGGCGTCCGCGTCCCGCCAATATATTCCATACCGTTTGTCGATTAACGCATGTGACGCCTACACGTATGTGCCGGGCATTGGGTGATAAGACGCTCTGCCCATTTGAAACTGTGGAGGGGTGAGGCCCAAAAAGCCTGAATAAGGGAGGTCTCCGAGTAAGAAATCTCTAGCATTAGTAGTTAACCTCTCTGCCTCTCTGCTAGCCAGGGCGAGGGCTGGGCTAAAATGCGGGAGCGCGTTCCAGGCCTCCCGTTGTTCCAAAGACGCTATATAAGCGTCTGTGGCCGTGTGCTGTGCCAGAGTCCTTCAGAGGCTCACTATCAGAAAGAGCTCGGAGCTTTTACTGCAGTACGTATCCTCCCATTAACAATAGAGGGTCTTACTATGACGGGTTTCTAAACGCGCTCCAAAGTCACCACCTCTTTACAAGCCCTTAATAAGAGGCTGTTTAACTAAGATCTATACTTATTCAAATCCAGTGTGAAGTCGATACATGCAGGATGCAGATCCAGCATACCTTAATCAAACCCTAGAATGCGCTACCATACAAAGCAAATGAGGTGTTCTTGTAGAAGAGGACAAAACTCTCAAAAATTAGCGGGAAGGGTGTGTATTATACGTTCCGAAACCCGTGTTCAAATTTCACTAAACTGTGTACTACTACACTTACTTGCCCCACTAGACTGGCGTTCAGAAAGGTAAAGTATTGCATGTTATGGCAGCCTTCTTTCTCCCATTTATTGCCATAATTCAGTTGAAATTAAACTGATAGGCATGAAGCGTTAATTAGGAAGTTTCACAGCGGATCCGCATCAATTCTATCCTTATGCTGCTACAGGTACTGCCGTATGCCTAATACCTTCTAGGAAGACAAATTTAGTGAACTGCTCTCACCATTACTGTGGTCTAGATCTGAGTTCAGTCACATGTGTTCAGGGCTGAGCTTCGTCAGCGTATGCTCGGATTCGAACTGTTGTCACAAGCTCAACAACAGGAAGCACAGCCCCAGATTCAGCAGCCCATCAACGAATTGCCAGCATTTTCAAGACGAAATGAGTAAGTCAATCATTATACAGTGATCGTAAGATAATCTGAATAATTGATCTTCCAGCCTGGCCGAGGAAGCGACCACAACCATCACCGCTCCTACCACTGTGCCTTCAAAGGAGAAGACTGAGCAGACATCCACGGAAGGGAATAACGACGGATTTGTGAGTACACGAAATCACTGCCCAAGCATGCTCAACGGGATCGAAAGTCAAGTCTATACGCTCCCATTCACGAGTCATTCAAAGTGTCAAAAATCCGACTGCAGTGGTCATTTTCGATCGTCAGTTCCGCCATAGCCATTGACCTGTTTCGCGCTGTAATTGTCCAGCTACGCGGTCCACAAAAATCACTCACAGTCATTTACGAGCGAATTTTCCTGTTGCGGGAAAAAATACTCTCGCTCATATACCTGTTGTTAATGGAAGCCAAGCGTCTGTACTGCAGGCATACGTGACGATAGCCCCCGCAATCAACACCTCCCTACCTGCCTTCCTTTTTATAAGCTGAAATGAAACATATTCTAGACTATAATCATAGTCTGTCTGGCCATACAGAAAGATATCACGGTATGGCTCTTCTTCCTCATATCAA